ATATATATATATATATATATATATATATATATATATACATACATACATATATATATATATAGTTAAGACAATTTTAAAAATATTGTTTAGCAGAGTAGTCATGACTTGCATGTTCCCGTTCAAAGACACAAAATACCTCCACTTTGAGAAACAAAAATAAACAATAAAATTTTTCACACATACAATTTACAACATTATACAAGTCGTTCTGCTTCATCGTGTGGTCTTTATTATTGCCCAATAGGTTTTTTGTGATTTCTTTAATGCCTATTTTTCCTTTTGTTTCAAACAAACATTAATTCTGATTAAAACAGAAAAACTTCAGTCATCAGTAAAACAAGCAACACACAGAGAGATGTGTAAAACTCAAGCTTTTATTCTGTTTTACGTAAAAAATCTCTTCTTTTTTTTTATTTGGTGAGCAATGCAAACAGTGCACCTGACATTTTTGTTTTCCATATTGGTATTTTGTTAAAGTTGTGAATCTGAACTATTAAACGTGAAAAATAAATGTGTCAGATTTACCGTCTCAAACCATCTTCTAAACTCAAACCAAATTTTTACAGTTGTATTCAGATCTTTGTGTTCGACCTGTGGTTCAGTTTCATTTTAGTATACTTTAACGCTGGGTTTTGTACAAATAAAGCACAAAGAATGGCTAAAGAAAGTGGGAAGCTGTGGTAGATCTCAAGCATGATGACTTTTATGACCTCCTACTTGTAAGCAAACCATCAATCCCAAATGAACTCAAACTCAGCCAGAGGTTTGTCATTTATGGCCACAAATAGAGGATAAAAACTGAATTGTAATCAGAAGTAATACTAATAACAAGGCAATTGGCTTCTTTTTGTTCCACCTGACAGAAAAGCACAGTGGTTTGTGATAAACGGTAAAATTACAAGAAAAGCTATAAGATATCAATGCTATTGCTCACTATTACCTGCTCCATCAGGGGAGCGCTCAGATCTCTTGACTGCAGGCGTAACCTTTTTTGTCACAATTTATTACCAGAATAAGAGACCCACTTGGGAATGCTTAGACTTGTGCTGGTGCAAGGCAGAGCTATCTTCCTGAGTCAGTGACTTCATTTTCTTCTAATGTTGCCAATTTACTGACTCATTCACTCAGATGGTAAAGTTTGCTCCTTATTGGCAATGCAGTCCCAGGTGCAGCTTCCTGAAAAATTCATGGAGACCAATATAGGATGGCTTTAGTCCACATTCGTCGGGCTGCACTGCCAAATTGGTTTGTCTCGGCGTCACAGCTAAATTCCTGTTGGGCTTAATAAAGTCACAGAGGAGGTATGTTTCATTTTTACGACTCCACGCTGTTACCTGCACAGACAGACAACGCTCTGCTTTGACTTTATGGGATGTGAGAGGCAATACGGCTGCTCTTCTAGGTCAGGTCCTGCTGAATATATTCAGGATGCCAGATGTGGCACAGAGAGAGAATAAATATCTGATGTGCATGCAGCTTATTTAGGTGCTGTGCTAACAAGTTTGCCACCTTGTATTAGTCACACATTTGCAAATTAATGCCCACACTTGGTGTTTTTGTTGTTTATGACTGTATCTTTTAAACTGCACATGATAAATACAGTAGGCTTTAAAGTGATGATGGAAATTGTGCTAATCTTCAGTAGGGGAAAAAGAACCAATTTGGTTTATTAAGACTGAAGAAATTGTTCAGATCTATTAAATTGTAGTGTAAAGGTTCCAAACAATTAGTATCTTACCTGTTGTAGATGGCTATTTGAACAATGTAAGTTTGAAGATACTGAGTTTAATTCTGACCAGAAGAACAAGCTAACAGGTGTCTGAGTGGAGCAAAAACAAACTGCTCCATTGTTTTCTTCTAATAACATCAGAATCAAATATTTCTAGTACCGTATTTTTCAGACTATAAGGTGCACTTAAAATCCTTTAATTTTCTTAAAAATCAACAGTGAGTTTTATAATCCAGTGTGCCTTATGTATGAAAACAGACCCGTTCATTGGCATTGCGCCTTATAGTCCGAAAAATACAGTAGTTCATGCAAATATATTTAGAACCCTTTAGATTCTTGTCAGTTAGTATGGCCAGTGTTAGTCTGACAACATTGAATAAAAAGACCATAGGTTCAGATTATTATGATATTAAAAATACTTTAAAATGCATCACTATTTATTTTTCTTAAAACAGAAACAAAAATGCAATTATGATTACATTTGTTGCTTAAATTGTACCACATATTGTTAAATAATGATTATTAAATTAGTATAAATGTTAAACATTACTACATAAAATATTTATTTATTGTTATTTTCATTTTCATGCACAGATACAAACAAGAAAACTGGGATAACACAAGTAAACATGTTGTCACTCTGCTTAAATTCAGTGTTAGTTTGTTTCCTGTGCTCAGGACTATTTTGATTAAATTTATCATCTGCATTTTAATGTTAGTTATGTTAGTTTCTTAGATAAAATTTTGGGGTGTTGACCCTGCAACTTTGTAACACGGGTGTGCAAAACCAGAAACCAGTCCATACAGCAACACTTTCAGTGCAGCCTCGGGCACTTCCATCAAGAATATCTTATTTCTGCCAGAATAACCGTGTAATGTAAAGTCGGTGGCGTTGTTGAGGTTTCTAAAGTGGCATTGCAGAAAATGCAATAAAAAGTTGGAGGTGGAGGCTTTTTCAAGAAAACATTAATTTCTTTAGTGTTTGGTCTAGCTTGAATTAGCTGTTAGCTTGTCAGTTCTTCCTAAATAAACCTTTTATCTTCCAAATGTGGTTGTTCAAAGGGCTACCTACAGCAGGTAAGATAATTACTGTTCATAAGGTTTTCACAAACCACACTTTTAAAGATCTGAACTATACCTTTGTTTAAGGAGACAGGTTTGGGAATAAAAACAACTTTGACTTTAATCACAAATAGGAAGATAAAGAACAGGGCCACTTAGTAAATTATTACACACACACACAGAAAATTAAAAATAGCTTTATTTGTGATGATCACTCTAATTTTTCTGCTTGCTGAACCAGAACTGTTCCAGAAACGTTTTTGTTCGACGTGTTAAATTTGCCTGTGTCATGGCACCTATTCAAATTAATGCAAACTCCTACTAACACAAGGGAATCGGTTGCCCCCCCCCCAACACACACGCATATACACACACATACACAGTGAGACCTAGCTATTTCCATTACAAACATTAACACCTATCCAGCACAAGTCAATGACCTGCTGACACGGATCGATGGTGTTTGCTCCAGGCTGACGTTCAGATGTTCACAACTCGTCGTCCATTAAAAACTCCACCAGCTGATTCACACCATGTGCTCTGAACCATTCTGGCAGCATATGTTTAAATTTACATGTAACTCAAATAAACTTCACAAAGAAAAGTTTTTGTGTGTGTGTGTGTATACGTGTGCAAATCTGGGATATATTTTAAAACGGATCTGAAAGCGACAAGAGCAACAACCAAAAAACTTTTTAAAATTATGATTGCAACATCTTTTCAGTGATGTAGTTTATTTCAAGGTTCAAGGTTCAAGGTGACTTTATTGTCATTCACATCACATGTGGTACATGAGGTGGAACAAAATTGTATAAAAATATAATATATAAAAAAACGGTATACAAGGATCTAAGATATACACAAAATATTTATACATATAGCCAATATATATATATATATATATATATATATATATATATATATATATATATATATATATTTGGATAAAGTTGAAAAGGCTCATTCCCGTCAGAGTCACTTGCTCTTAACGCTACCCTTAAAATATGAATGTATATTTCCGAATGAGCTTAAGCAAAGTCTCTGGATATACTTTATTCATATAAGTGACAGCAGTAATGTGCCAGTGCTGACAAAATGAACGAGACATTTAAAGTGAGCTTCCTCTGAATCAGCATCCCCTCCTGTGAGAGCAGCGTTTCAGTCGAGGAAACAAGAGCAGCAGTAATGCTCCTCTGCGTGAGACAGATACCCTTTAACATACAGTATATATAGAAGCATGCTGCCATCCAAAAGTTCAATTAAGGTGGCCTCAGCAGCTCAGAGAGCAGTTTGGAAGTCATGAAGTTTGTATGTTTTGGTTCACCAAACGCTGACAGGTTCTTCCCAAGTGGGCCGGTACAGGCGGGTAGATTAGCTAGAGGTGCTCACCCTCAAAGGTGTTTGTGTGAAAACCAGTGACAGGATGACAACAGAAAAAAACATGTTCCTCCCAAGGCATGCCATTTAGCTTGAATGTACCAGAGGATAACCAGAGGCCATGCCTGCAGACTGACAACATGTGCATTGATTTATTTTTACCTGAGCAGTTTTGTAAACGTTCTGACGCACTTTAATTCTCAATGCTTTCACGTGTCAGGCAAAAGAAAGTGTTCAGGTTGCTCCAACGTCACAAAGAGAATGATTTCAACCAATAACAATTCAATTCAATAACAAACTTTTGAAACAATTGTTGGTAATGTGACATGGGTCACAAACAGATGCTGCTGGATCATTATTTAATTATAATATATATATTTATTATTGTACAAAGTATTTTTTGATTTGATTATAAAGTTAACAATTAATTGACCTTTATGAGGTCTGAACTGTCTCTGCTTGGATTATATTGCTTAATCTGTTTAAGCATAATTATCATGCTGGCCTGTAAATCAACTCCTATTGATGCACATACATTAATCTGGCAAGGGGAGATTATTTTGTTTACATTTACCTAAAAATGATCTGCAGACTTATGACTTTGCAGCGTCTCTAAACGAACTGTTTTTAAAGACATATTTAGAACTTATCAAGCCACTTATGCTGGTTTTGAAATGATACATCTTCATAAACCAATTTCAGTGTTATGGATGTAACATTTTATTAACTTCATGAGCAAGTTCAGGGCGGCACGGTGGATCAGTTGGTAGAGCTGTTGCCTCTCAGCGAGAAGGTCATTGGACCGAATCCTGGCCAGGGACCTTTCTGGGTGGAGTTTGCGTGTTCTCTTCATGCATGTGTGGGTTTCCTCCCACTGACTAAAAACATGCATGTTAGGCTGATTGGTAACTCTAAATTGTCTCTAGGTGTGAGTGAGAGAGTGAATGGTTGTTTGTCTTATTTGTCTCTATGATGGACTGGAGACCTGTGTCCAGGGTGTCCCCTACCTCTCGCACACGGATGGATATGGGCACCAGTGACCCCGCGACCCGAAAAGGAAGAAGCGGGTAAAGATAATGGATGGATGAATGGGTGGAGCAAGTTCAGACGTTCAGACTATGTTCAAAATCAGCCATATCAGTACATTTATATTGTTGTTCTGCAGAACTCTGAACATCTTGTTTTATTTGATTGACATTTTAGATAAAGAACCCCTAAAAATAATTAAAAACACACACATTTTTTATTTTACTTCATCAGAAAGGTCACTAAACAGTTGTTGCTGTGATCTGTCTGGAAAGGTTTACGTTTAGTGAGAAGTAAATGAAAGTTATATTCAGAGTGATTGCCAGTTTATTTCTCAATGTGTAAAACTCCACACAAACACATGGTGGCAGCATGAGTTCATTAAAAAAAAAAATCATTTCAGGACTACTGTACGCCAAATCCAACTTTCTTGTGCATTAAGTGCATATAAAGATTTTGTGTTTTATTTGTGCTTTAGCTAAACTAAAGTAAAAGTGTATACTTAATTACTTCATTTGCTCTTCTATTTTTGTTTTCTGCGTTTTTCATACTATTTGGGCTCTTTAAATGAAATTTAATGAAATGTAAACAGACTTTTGGGGACTATTTCTCAGTTTTGTTATTTAGCTTCTATTCATTTTGGAGGAGTAAGGACAGATTGTGCTTGCCAGAATCTTTGTTCACCTCCAAAATTAAAAAAGGTAACAAATCATGGTCAGGGGGATATGTTAAAAATCTTGATGAAGAAAAATTCTTAGCCTTGTTGAGGGAAAGGGGGTCCATATTCTGGCAGTGACATACTCTCTAAACTAGTGTTAAAAACACTTTGCTTATTGAAGAGGATGTAATAAAAACAGATTGTGTGTCTGTGCAATGTCAATTTCTATTGTCACCTATGATCTGGGGATCTGTTTTTATGATGCATGCCTGTGCTTCTAAAAAAAGTAGTTTACAAGAATATTATAGACAACTGTTTATAGTAATTGCGGTGAGATGGTGTTTTTCATGTCCAGACTTAACTTTAGGCGATTTAAAATAAAATAAAAACAAGTGTTTTTAGTTTTCCAGCTGACGTCAGCATACAATAAACGAACACTCACAACACATTAAACTAACAACGCCCACACAACAAATAAAAACGTTTAACTATTTGAGGTTTACTTGGTTGTAGTTGATGGGTATTAATGGGATTTTTCCAGCTTGGTGCGCTCTCCCGAGACAAGGTGGCACACATTTTAACGGGGATACTTACTTTGACGCAACACCTGGATGGAGTGGAGTTTGAAGTTCGCTGTGTCCAACAACAGTGGAGATTTACTGTTTCAAAAATCCATTTGTAAGATAAAATTATAACCTAAACTATCAATTCAGCTGCGTGGAGCAGAGCGACTGGTTATGAATACAACACAGAAAACATTCATTCATTCAACCTTTATTTATACAGGTTAATCCCATTGAGACTCATTTACAAGAGAGACCTGAATAAAAAACAATAATAATAAAACAGAGATAGAGGAGAAACAGGACAAATTCTTGAACATTGTCGGATTCCCCTAACTTTGTGGACTGTACCGCTGAAATAAACTGTGAGCATCTTTAAGTCAGGCCTTCTGGACAGGTTAAAACAAACAAACAAACAAACAAAAAAATTGTAGAAACAAACAAAAAGATTCAGTCTTTCGGATGAAAGACAAAACGCTTTTACAATTTTTTTGTTTATTTGTTTTTTGAACCCGTCTAGAGGACCTGACTTAACTTTTTTTAGATTTTTCTAGAGATCTGTGATCTCAGTGGGATTTGCCTGGTTAAATAAAGGTTAATGTTTGACATGGATAACAATAAGTCCACTGTATGTTATTATATTTGCTTTATCAACACACACTACTTTTTTCAGTTTTAAATGGTATACACGACATTTTTATTGCATTATTTTTTAAACGAATTAAGTATTACCCTCTCCCCCCGCGTTTGACGTATGACGCATTTTACCGGAAGTCTTTCTTTTTTATTTTACATCCGGGTTATAGACTGTTTACATTTAGCACGCTAGCTAGTGTCACGAGAAGTAGCTATATGTAACGTCTTTTACGGTTTTTTGGATGCGAAATTCATTTTAATGGCATCTCAAATCCCTATAACCGTGCGGACACAGCCACCCGTCGCCGGCAGCGCTGCCCTTCTCCGGGTGAAGAAACGTCCTGGGAGTCCCGCGGCTTCAGGCGCTCCGCAGGCCGCCGGGAGCAGCAGCGGCGGCGGCAGCAAGAAGAAGAAAGTCCCGCCGACAGCGATACCAACAAACATTATAACACAGGTAAAACAAACCGTCTCACACCGAAACACTGCAGTGGAAACCATGTATAATTATTTATTCCACTTATATATATGTATATATATTTACGGTAACAGCTGTTATTTATTATTAACCTTTATTTGTTTAACCAGGCAAATCCCATTGAGATCACAGAGCTCTTTTCCAAGGGAGGCCTGAGCCTGAAGGCAGACTAACATGCATGTTTTTTTAAGCAAAATACAGTAACCCAAATCTTTTAGACATCATTATGACAACTGTGTGTACATATCAACTACAATACCACCTGATGCTGTGGCTGAGTGGTTAGAACAATTGCCCTCCAATGTGAGAGTTGGGGGTTCAATTCCACCAGCAGTCACATGTCAAAGTGGCCCTGAACAAAACACTGACTGAACCCTTCATTGTCTCCGATGTGTGTCCCATCGGTGTATGAATGTGAATAAAGCACTGATTAGTCTTTGTAAAGAAACTAGAGTGCTGTATGAATGGGTAAATGAGGGCACAGATTGTGTTGTAAAGTGCTTTGAGTATCTTGATCAGATAGAAAGGCGCTATATAAATACAGTACATTTATCATTTAAAGTTTTAGGTTTTTATACATGTTATTAAATACAGATTAGTACTTTGTGTGACTTTTATCTCTTATTTGGACAGGTATGATTAGCTATAAGTACATATATACATTATTCAAATATCCATCACATGCAAAACGTTTATCTGTAGTTTTAAGTGTTTTCTATGCTCGTCCTCAGGTAACAACAGTGGAAACGGTGGCAGAGATGAAGATTGTTGGTTCAGCAGACGTTGGTCCAATGTCCTCAGAGTCCATGACAAAGCCTCCACCATTCAAAGACTGCATGTTTATGGTGAGAGTCAATGTCCTCCTGAATTTACATTTACCTCTTGTTGGAGCTGGTCGCTCACCGTCCACTCCTTTTTATTTTCTCCGTTCTTCTGGGCAGCATTCAGGGATCGGTGGAGCAGCAGCAGGCAAAAAGAATCGAACGTGGAAGAATCTCAAACAAATCCTGGCTTTGGAGCGGACTTTACCTTGGAAGCTAAATGACCCTAACTGTGAGGTTTTTTGTTTGTTGTTGTTTTATTTTATTTTGTATAAGCAATGGATTGCAGTATATAGGCTTTTTAAGTCTTTGTTGTTCTTTGTGGTGTCATTTATGTCATGCCCCGCATATCTAATTATTGCTTCAATTTATGACATTTCTCTGTTCACAGACTACAGCATTGATGCTCCTCCATCCTTAAAGCCAGCAAAGAAATACTCAGACATCTCTGGACTCCCTGTGAGTTGAACAAAGTCAGTAAAAAAATCATTCAGTTCTTGCTCCGAGCAAAATGTGAATGTTATCATTTGTATTTTGTAAGGCACACTACACCGATCCACAGACCAAGCTGCGGTTCGCCTCCTCTGAGGAGTTCTCCTACATCCGTCTCCTCCCCACAGATGTTGTCACAGGCTACCTGACTCTTCGAAAAGCACCATGCATCGTACCGTGACTGCTGAGCAAACCCTGAAACGGGCTCGAGCCAGTGAGCTCGCATCAGAGGATAAAGCTGCTGAACAGCAGTGAGAGAGCAGCTCACAGCTTCAAACACCAGAACGGTTACAGGTGCAGGCGTTAGCTGCTGTTATGAAGCGGGGAATATGAGCAGGAACTGTTGGCCAAATAGGTTCAACAAAAAGGAAATCTTTAATTTTCTTTAGAGAGGACACTTTGAACAGTTGGTGAGTGTGTCCAAATATATTTTCCTTCAAATACTTGATGTTTACTTCCAAAGTAAATGGCTTGGTATGAGTACTGTTGCTAAGCAATCATTGTTTTACTTTTTTTGTTTTACTTTTGCCAACATGTGAATGGTAGTACTAACACAAGGAGTAAAACTTGTTGACTACATAATGCTAGCACTTTGTTAGCCACTTCTTTTAGCTCGTTTCCAGTCTAATGGTATGATCTTTTTCTCAAATCCACCAAATGGTTTTTTTGGGGGAATACCTTTAGGGCAGGTTGCTGAGAAGAAATATGGTGAGTCAACTTTAACAATAAAAAAGAAAAAAACAATGTCAAAGTCAATGGAAGTTTTTATTTTCATTTTTAAATTAAATTACATGTCCAACATGCTTATAACTTTATGCTGTATTACTTCATAATAGGATACTTTATGAATTGTTTTCACAATTAAAAAGAAGACCCACATAAGCCTGCTTGTGTTTGATTTTTTTTTTAATTGGTAAATATATATATATGTTTTTCTTCTTTACATAAATCCAGTCTTTTGCCCTAAAACAAACAAACAAAAAATCAATAGATATTAATAATTTGATAGTTTCATAATTCTACACCTACTGGCTGGAAAAGCCCCCATCCAAAAGGCTTGAAGTGGCCCATGAGCCACCAGTTGACAATCACAGTTTGATCAGGTTTTGCGGCTCCATAGATATTTTATTTAGTGTGCAAAGAGGAAGAAATGGCTCGTTTGATCAGAAAGGTTGCAGACCTCTGGTCTATAACAACAGACAGTGTAGGTCTAATTTGAATTGTGCATTAAGAATGAATTTCACATTTTAACTCCACACATTCACTTCTTGTATGCTTTTCACTCAAACCCCTATAGTCTTTGATTAAAGAGAAGGTTCCAACATTTTCTGGCAAATCTGGTCCAATGCACTGAATGTCTAATGACATGCAAATATTAAGGAGCAATTACAGAGGAGGAAAAAACTAAAATCTGTATACTTTTTTATAACTGTCTATTGTTATCACTGTTGTCCATTGTTTTCATCATTCTTTGTTGAAATCAGGTCTCTCTTGTAAACGAGTCCTCGAGGCTCAATGGGATTTAGCTGTTTAAATAAAGGTTGAATGAAAAATTACAGAGATGTGAATTGGACTGTCGTCATCAAATAGTGGCCTGCAGTGATTACACCAAGCCACAATTGACTGAAGGATGGAAAACAATACGGAAAGAGAACAAAAAGACGTATTTGGATATTTTGCAAACATTTCTTATTTCATATTGATCAAAAAACATATAGTCAAAATTAAGACCGTTTTGTAATGTTTTATATTAGAGTGAAACTTGAAAGTTTTATTAATCTTGTTTATAATAAACACAATTCGAAACAGAGCCTCAGCCTTCACTCTTAAAGCTGCTCATGTCCCAGTGGGTCTTTCATCAACGAGAGTTACGTGAAGATAAAACTCTTTATTTTGTAGTTTGATAATAATTTGATGCTGCTTGTTCTTGAATTTGTGCATTAATAATGTTAAGCACAAGTTCACAACACTCGGTTTATTTCAAACCATAAAACCAGCTGTTAATCCAAAGAAATAAGGTATATTAATGTTTGGGATATATTTATTTATACCCTACTACTGCATCATAAGTCAACAACAATGTCTTAATCTAACTACAAGTTCCAAAACCTCATGCTTCTAATCATAAAATGTTGTCCAAAGCGTACAAATCCTGCAAAAGCTGCTCTAGTTTCAGCAAACGAGCGCTCTTCCTCTTGGCTGAGTGTTAACTTCCTGCAGCTCTGAACTTTGCTGAAGCTGATGAGGGCAGTAAAGTATATCTATTAAAGTCAGAGCAGCATTTTCATTCCTGCAGTGGCATCAAAACCCAACATAGTGATTAATGAATGGTGTCAGGGCTTTCTACAACCCAAGCATACAAGCCAGCAGAGTGTGTCCCAGTGCCCGTGCAAGCAGGTGTTTGTGCTTGTGGGAGCTCCCTCGCTGTGAACTAAAACAACACAAGAGTTGAATCTTGTCACAGGTTCTAACATTTCTCATATGAAGTTATTTATACACTCCCGTGTGTTATTATGTAACACATTTATGCTAATTTGCATCTTTCTATGCAGAATTGGAGCAACCATTGTTGTTATTGCAGTTGCACTTTGCTACCACCAGGGTGCGCAAAAGCGCTGTCCAGTCTGCAATCCACGTGTTTGTTGTCTGCAAAATGAGCCAATAAAAGTCACAGTCAATGATAAAACAAACAAACAAACAAAACAAAAAAACTAGCTTAGCAAAGTGTGAATGCCTTTGAAAAATCAGCAGTGCTTGATAAATATTACAACCTAATGAGAAGCCATCATAAATATAAAAACTAATTGCTGACATACTTTAAGTCATAAACACTCATAAAAGGTTAGGTTTATTTCTACTGCGGTGCATAAAGATTCAGTGAGAAATAGAGTAGATTTAAACAGGCTGATGACAATCATTACTCTATTTAGCACGGACATGGAAATGGATGTGAGCAATTTCCAGCTCGATCATATAATAACCCTCATTATGACACTGATTGTGCTGAACACGGTTGTGTTGGAGGATGCAGCACCTGCTGCACTGTTTAACAGAGACACACACCGGTTAACTTGAAATCAGTGAGAAAACCCTGTGATGACTTTGATGTGTTTTTACTTTGCAGAGCTTGGGCAAGTTTTTTGTTACAGAGACCCTGTTTGAACTTCATCCATGTCTGGGTTGTCTTTGGATTTTTCTTAATAGAACAGAGAAGATGGTATCTGTGTTGCTTTACGTTTTCACCTTCCAGTGCAGCCTTTTGCAGCACTGTGCTGCGTGTCACTGAACCTTTTCTCTACAATGTGCAAAAATCTTAAATTATTCCTCATCTCTTCACATTTTTTAACTGTGGAGCCAGCAATTTTATTTATTTTTTAAAAAAAATTAAAAAACAGCTGTCCAGTATTTCAAAAGTTTATAATAATAATAATAATTATTATTATTATTACTATTATTTGACTCAATGTTCACACTAATGTTTACTTGTTTATAGTTTCTTCCACAGTTTTTAAAACAATAACTACTTCAGCATACTGTCAGCTATTTTACCTATCCATTTTATTTACAATTTATATTTTTTCCTCATCAAATGAAAGCACGTTACATCCCTAAAAATGTTGTGCTCTGTAGTCTACTTCAGCTTACTTGACAAATTGTTAGATTTTAGCTGCTGTTTTACCATTTATTTTTTTTAGCTTTTAGCAATGAATTAGCTTAAATTGACTTTGCTAATTTTAGCTTTTATGTAGTATTTCTTCATTTTACCAGGTACCTACTGTTTTGCCAGTATAGCTTTTAGATACCTTAAGACTTTGTTTTACTAAATTTTGGTTTATTTTATTTTATTTTTTAATCAAAATCTTTTTATTGATTTTTTTGTTTGTTTTTTAGAACACACACACACAAAAAATGAGGGGGGAGACATACAACAAAATCCCCTCCCACTCCACCCCTCCCACACTGGATCAGCCACACAGACATGAACGTCTTAAACAGACATTGACATGTTTTCCACATAAGACATAAAGGGCTGCCAAGTGTCCCAAAATCTCTAATCTGAACCTTTCAGAGTATATCTTTTTTTTTTCTCCCCCAGATTAATATGATACATGACGGGCAGCACGGTGGCGCAACTGGTAGAGCTGCTGCCTCTCAGCGAGCAGGCCCTTGGTTCAAACCCCGGTCCAGGGGCCTTTCTGGGTGGAGTTTGCATGTTCTCTCCGTGCATGCGTGAGTTTTCTCCTGGTACTCCGGTTTCCTCCCACAGACCAAAAACATGCATGTTAGGCTGATTGGTAACTCTAAATTGTCCCTAGGTGTGAGTGAGAGAGTGAATGGTTGTTTGTCTCGTTTGTCTCTATGTGGCCCTGTGATGGACTTGCGACCTGTCCAGGGTGTACCCCGTCCCTCGCACAGTGATTGCTGGACATGGGCACCAGCGACCCCCATGACCCAAAATGGAATAAGTGGATAAAGATAATGGATGGATGGACGATACATGACTTCTGCATAAAATAAGTCCTGGCTAGAAGGGAGCCAAAAGCAATCACATCCCTTTTGTATTTGCTCAAGGATAAATCCACAGGGACCACCCCAAACAATTAAATGAATGATGATGGGTGCACAGTTTTTCCCCATATCCCAGAGGAGGTATCAAAAATAGATTTCCAATAGGTCTGCAGTTTTGGACAAGTCCAGAATGTGTGTAAGAACATAGCTGGAGTTTGTTTACAATGACTACATGCAGGATCCAGGTAGGTTTTAATCTCGGACAGGTTATCTTTGGACCAATGCAGACGACGGTGCACCTCCTTGAATTGAATTACAGCGTGTCTCAGACAGATTGAGGATGAGTAAATGTTCTTAAAGATCTTTTGCCAGATTGAGGCTGATATGAATTCTTCCAAGTCCATTTCCCATTTCAGTTTAAGAGAGTCCAAGCTGGTCTCATGGTATGAACTGAGCAACCTTGTTGCAAGCTCCCTTTGTGTCAGACCTTCACACCAAAATCTTAACTACAAAATGTTTAGAGGGGTACAAAGGAAAACAATCAGAGTGAGACCTCACAAAATGCCTTAGTTGCAGATATCTGAAAAACTGTGACTTGTGAATATTCAATTTCTACTAGCTGCTCAAAATAGGCAAATGTATCATCAACATAGAGATCACACAGTGAATGCAATCCATTCAAGTCCCAGGCATCAAAAGCTGTATCAGCTACTGAGGGAGCAAACATATGATTATTTGACACAGGTGCCACAAACAGTAACTCTGAAGAGTCAAATGCCCTCTTGAACTGATTCCAGATCTTGACTGTCCAGATCACAATTGGGTTAGAAGTGTAGGTTGATTTTAGCTGTTTGAAAGGCAACTGAGAGCAAAGTAATGCAGAGGGGGAACTGGATCTAATTGAGGCCCTCTCCAAAGACACCCAACTGGGAGGAGGAGTAGCCTTTCTTAACCAGAATAATATAGCTCTAATATTAACTGCATGACATTAGGAAGTGACATGCCTGCAAGACTGTGAGGCAGATGCATGATATTCCTGGCAATTCATGGATACTTTTTATTCCAAATAAACACTGATAGCTGGCTGCTCAGATTGGAGAAGAATGATTTAGTAAGGAAGATTGTTAGACTCTGAAAGAGAAATTTAAGTAGAATATTCTGATGCATGCTCAATAATCCAGGTAGAAAAATCCAAAAAACTTCAATCTGGTCCGCTGGACATTAAAAAAAAAACAAAAAACA